GAAATTAAAATTAGGGGTCCATTACTTAAGGAAAATTGGTCTACTATTAATATTGTAAGGGCCTCCATATAAGATGTCCTGTAAATCCCCAATTATCTGATATTTGATAATGTGATAACCCTTTTCGTGGAGATATATTTCTGGTTCTGCAACTATAATACTGTAAGGGCCTCCATATAAGATGCCATGTAAATTCCCAATTATTTAAAATTTGATAATGTTATAATCCTCTTCATGAAGATATATTTCTGGTTCTACTACTATATTCCAAATTTGTATCACATATCGGCTCATATAGTTATAACCAAGCGTCTCATCGATTACATAAATAATAAGAGTTTTTCTTTATTTTTCAGTCTCAATTTCCACCTCTGATATACGTTAACCACAAATTGTCTATTAACTACTTCAGGTGAAATATAAGACAAGTTCATATCATTTTCAACATAATGGTTCCCTGCAAATAAATTTACCCATGGTGCTTCAAGAAGAGTCTATTTTCTCTGAAGCGCTGGTGACTTGATTTTTTGCTTATTTTGCCTCTCAACAACACTTGTATGTCCATTTGTTCCCTGTCTGCTTAGACAAAATTGCATGAGTAATTGGTTGTACCCACACTCGTAAATGGACTCACATGATCAATTTGCTATATCACAGTCAAAATACGCTTCTTAGATGCACCTGCATTTGTGCATGAGATCCCAAATCGAGTGACCTAGTTTGGAATTGGTTCCTAATCAGAGTCATCACTTGTTGTGAATTTTCATGTTTGATGGTTTTTGGAATCCCGCGTTCACTGACGAAGCTTCTTACAGTCCTGAGCGGCTACTTTTTAGGTGTTCTTCTATTAATTATACGTGATTAAATTTTTAATCTATGTCAAAAAGCATAATATATAGAAATAATATAAACTTAAATTTTTTCTATTTTCGTTATAACCTAATTTATAAAAACATAACTATTTTATATACAATTTAGATAGTATTAAATTTTAATTTATTTATTTGTTTTTTAAAATCCGTAAATAATTAAACAACATCACAATAAATAGACACGGAGTTTGAGCAGAACGGCTCCCCGAATAGAACTAAATCCAAGTAAGGTAGTGTAATAAAATACTCCCCCCGTTTCAAAAGATTGTCCTAATTTGACTTGGCACAAACTTTAATAAAGAAGGGATGACTTTTGAGATATGTGATCTTAAATAAGCCATAGCATTTGTGTGGCTGTAGAACTTTTGAAGCTTGTGGTCTGAAATCTTTCATAGTATTTGCAATAGTGTCAATCATTTTCAAACAGATGGAGTACGAAAAAAAAGATGTCAAGTCACAATGGGGATGGAGAAATTAGGAGTTCCATGAAGGCTTGACTTAAATGGTGAGTAATGGAGCACCACTCCAATAAATGGGTTAGTTAGATTTTTTTCCATTAATGGTGAAGGCACGCCACACTAGAGAGCCTTGTTCTTATAATATTTTATGACGATCCAATAGATCGTTTTGACTACTAGCCCTTATCTCCGTATTTCGAGACATCTATTAGCTTCATTTGATATTTCTTGATTTGTGTGCATAATCTGTGTTATTTTTCAGAAAGTTTATACGTAAATATTTAAAGAAAATGTGATTTTTGGCTTTAATAACAACTTGAGTTGACTACGATCAACATTTCAAACGAATCTGGATCGGTGTTTTGAAGATTATGGTAGGTTTGTATTGTGATTTTGGACTTGGGCATATGCCCGAAAATGAATTTAAAGGTCCCTAGGTTAATTTGACTTGTTTTGTCGAAAATTAGCAATTTGAATGTTTGGAAATTCCCTAGGCTTGACCGTAGGTTGAATTATGGTTATCGGATTTGAATTTTGGTTTTGGAACTTGAAATAGGTCCGTTTTACTATTTGAAACTTGTCTGCAAAATTTGGTGCAATTCCGAGTTGGTTTGATAGGCATCATACTCTTGGTAGTTTTTCTAGATACTCTTGAGTTTCCTTTCAAATTTCATATGTTTTGATGTCATATTTGTGGTTCCGGATATTATTTTGGTATTTTGATCATGTGAACGAGTTTGTATGATGTTATTACACTTATGTGCATGTTCGATTTGGAGCTCGAGGGGCTCGGGTGAGATTCAGATAGGCTTTGGAATAGTTTTGGACTCAGGAGGTGCAGATTTTTTAACTTCTGGTGTTATATGGTTCGCGATCACAAATCTTCTCATAATCGGGAAGGAAAAATTTGGGTTGTGGGTTGGTTACTCTTCGTGAATGGAGAGGTAGGTCGCGAACGCGAAGCTTTGGGGTCTTACCTTACGCGAACGCAACTCACTCTTCGCGAACGTGAATCTTTGGGGATGACCTGGGGGGATCGTTGTGGTGTTCATCGCGAACGCGGCCCTGGTGTCGCGAACGCGAAGCATACTAGGGAATAAGCCTTCGCGAATGTGATACAGACCTCACAAACGCGAAGGCCAATTGGCCAGTGCTCATCGCGAATGCATTAGGTGCTTCGCAAACGCGAAGAATACTTGAGGCCTAGATATTTAAAGTGCTGAAAGTCGGGATTTGGTCATTGTTTACCATATTTGAAAGATAGAGCTCGGCCTAGAGGCGAGTTTGAAGAGATTTCATCCCCACTTCATTGGTTAGTGATTTTTAACTAGTTTTGATGTATTTCCATAATCACCCATTGATTGTAACCTTTAATCTATGAATTTCATGGTAGAAATTGTGGGTTGGGTAGAAATTAGAGATTTTGCAAAATTGATATTTAGACCTCAAATTGAGGTTGGATTTCGAAATAAATTACATAACCGGTCTAAGGAGTGAATGGATAATCAGGTTTTGGTCCGAATCTCGGATTTTGATCAAGCAAGCCCGGGGTTTACTTTTATTGACTTTTTCAAAATTCATTAAAGATTGAATCTTTTTCACTTGGGGGTAGTATCTAAAGTTTATTTTAAATTATTTGAACTATATTTGGCTAGATTTGTCTAGTTTAGAGGCTAATTATAAAGGAAAGGTTGTGGTTGAGTGTTGATTTAGTTGTAGAAAGAAGTAAGTGTTGTGTCTAACCTTGACTTGAGAGAATTAGGACTTATTGGTCTAATTGTTATGTGAATTATGTGGGAAAACAGCGTATATGCGAGGTGACGAGTGTATACACGTTGTCATGGGATTAAAGCATGTGGGATTGGGCTATTTACTTCCATGTATTCATTTATTCCATGTTATCTCTTGCTATATACTTTAATTGCTACATATTATTACTTGATATCTATGTTTTACTTATTAATTGTTATTTAACTGTTACCTATTTTGATTCATTCATCCTCACTCAATATCTGCTTACCTGTTACATGTTCCTACATGCCTTAATTGTATATTCGCATTGCCACTTTTTTTTACATGCTTTTATTGTCCTTATATTACTTGATGCACTGTGTTATGTTATTCTGATTGCGTGAGCCATTTAGCAATTCTTGTATTGATGAATCGTCAAGTCTTGGGATTACGAGGTGTTGGATATTCTCCGTTTGTATTGGTAGTTCTTTAATGTTCCGCACGTTTCATTCTCTTTTATGTTTATATTTCATAAATAGTGGTGTTGAGTTGTTTATGTTAATAAATTGGTATTGGAGGATTGGGTTGCGCCTCGTAACGTACTAAACTGAATTGATATTGGGGGATCGGGTTGCATGTCACAACGGAATAGAAAATAATATGATATGATATTGGAAATAAGTTGTACGCTGAAAAAGATATTGTGTTGAAACTTGGGATGGGGTTGCACCCCGCAAAGGATTTGATATGTTGTAGTTGTTTGTGGCTATAGAGTTTATTCTCGGTATTGTGATATGAGATTTGAGATTATGTTATTCTGGGGACCTCTGGTGGATGACCTTCGGGTCCGTTTATATAGGTTTATTGCTTTTTTTCTATTATTATAATTTCATGTAGGCTTATTGTAAGCGACTTGCCATAACTTCGTCACTACTTGATTGAGGTTAGGCTCGGCACTTACAAAGTACATGGAGTCGGTTGTACTCATGCTAAACTTCTGCACTTTTTGTGCAGATCCCGGTGTTGTCCCAGTGGTGCGTAGCGAAGACTGCTCGGATTCAACTGCTTTCGATGACTCTAGTAGAGCTGTTGGCATTCGCAGACCCTGAAGTCTTCTTCTATCATGTTTTACTATTTATCTAGTTTTAAACAGTTGTAGTTTATTTCAGACCGTATTTGTAGTATTCTAGTTGCTCATGTACTTGTGACTTCGGATTTCTAGGAATAGATTTAGTACGGTGTTTTTTATATAGACACTTTGGTTCATTTCCAAGTTTATCTGTTGTTAATCATCATTACTCTATTATAATTTGATAAAATTTGTTGAGTAGTTATCTAACGTTGGCTTGCATAGCAAGTAGATGTTAGGCCCCATCACAACCCCTACATTGGGATTCCGGGTCGTGACAAGTTGGTATCAGAACCCTAGGTTGCCTAGGTCTCACGAGTCATGAGCAAGCTTAGTAGAGTCTGGAGGATTGGTACGAAGACGACTGTACCTATCTTCTAGAGGCTATGGGGATTTAGAAAAATTCATTTTTTTCTTTCTCTATTGTGTGACTTTATTCTATTACTAAAGTTTGAACCATTATATTCTTGTTGTCTCATAGATGGTGAGGACACGCACAATATCTACAGCCGGACAGGAGCTAGAGCCACCTGTTGCAGCCACTACCAGGGGTAGGGGCTGGAGTCGAGGCAGAGCCAGAGCTCAACCTAGAGCACATGCAACAGCGCCCGTTGCGGAGCCTCACCTCGAGCATAAGGAGGAGATCCCTATTCCGACCCCACCAGTCGGACCCGCTCAAGTCCCGGATGGATTCATTGCTACTCCCGGACTTCAGGATGCCCTAGTCTGCTTAGTGGGCCTTATGGAGAGTGTGGCCTAGGCTGGAGTATTTCCTATGGCACCAACAATCTCTCAGGCTAGGGGAGGAGCTCAAATTCCTGCCACACATACTCCAGAGTAGATGGCTCCCCTGTATCAGACTCCGACGGCTCAATTAGTTAGAGTAGTTCAGCCCATTATTACTACACAGCTCGGGGAGAGGCCCGCGGTGTCTTCTGAGGGATTGAAGAGGTTAGATAAGTTCACCAAGCTCTTTCCTATTCATTTTGGTGGTACACCTTCTGAGGACCCACATGATTATTTTGACCATTTCCATGAGGTATTGCGTATAATGGGTATTGTGGAGTCCAATGGAGTCGACTTTGCAGTGTTTCATATGACCGGTTCTGCCAAGATGTGATGGCAAGATTATGAGCGAAGCTGACCAACAGGTTCACCTCCACTCGCATGGGATCAGTTTTCACAACTATTTTTGGAGAAGTCCATCCCTTTTACTCTTAGAGGAGTACCATATGCAGTTTGAGCGCCTTCAGCAGGGTAGCATGACTGTTACCCAGTACGAGACTAGATTTGTAGACCTATCTCACCATGCAGCTATCTTGATTCCTACTAATAGAGAGATTGTGAGAGGATTTATTGATGGTCATGCTTTTTGTATCAGACTACAGATGGCCAAGGAGACTGGGGATGATATTTCTTTTCACCGGGTAGTAGAGATTACTAGATGGATTGATATGATTCGTGGTCAGGGTAGAGAGGTGGTATCTACAAAAGAGGCCTCGTCATTTCAGTGGTTTCAGTGGTGCCTCATCTAGAGGTACAAGTTCATTTGGTAGAGGTCATCCTCATAGGCCGATTCAGTCAGTGCTTTAGGTAGCACACGATGCTTCGGGTAGTCGTGGTTCTTATGAGTCTCGTCCTAAGAGGCCAGTATTCAGTACACCTTTAGCTTCTATCAGTGAACCACCACTATAGAGTTACTACAATGGTCGTTTGGTTCATTAGGGATCATCTCAGACTCAGCATGTAGGTCAGCCGCGGGGTTGCTTTGAGTGCGGCGACACATGTCACATTTGGAGGTACTGTCCTAGGTTGATTAGTAGTAGACCACAGTAGGGTACTCGTGCCATAATTCCGGCACCGATGCTCCACCACTCCCACAACAACCTAGAGGCGGGGGTCAAGCAGCTAGAGGTGGTGGTCAGACCGTTAGAGGTGGAGGCCAGCCAATTAGAGGCAGTCCGAGAGGTGAAGGTCAGAGTGATGGGGTTCAGCCCCATTTTTATGCATTCCTAGCTAGACCTAAGGCAGAGTAATCTGATGCCATCATCACAAGTATTATTCTTGTTTTTCATAGAGATACATCAGTTCTATTTGATACGAGTTTCACTTATTCATATGTGTCATCCTATTTTGCTTCATATCTCAATATATTTCGTGATTCTTTGAGTGCTTATATTTACGTATCTACGCCTGTCGGAGATTCTATTATGGTAGACCGGGTATATCGTGCTTGTGTGGTCACTATCGGAAGCTATGAGACTGTGGTAGACCTTCTACTTCTTAATATGGTGGACATTGATGTTATCTTCGGCATGGACTGATTGTCACCATATCATGCTATCTTGGATTGTCACGCCAAGACTATAACCTTAGCCATGCCAGGGTTTCCTCAATTAGAGTGGAGAGGGACTCTTGGCCATTCTACTAGCACGGTTATCTCTTATGTGAAGGCTCGGTGTATGATCAAGAATGGGTGTTTGGCATATTTGGCCTATATCCGTGATCCTAGTGCAGAGGTTCTTTCCATGAATTCAGTACTAGTTTACGCAATTTTCCAGAGGTGTTTCCTACATATTTGTCAGGGATGCCACCCGACAGAGATATCGACTTCTGTGTTGATCCGATTCTGGGCACTCAGTCCATTTATACCACACCATACCATATGGCCCCAGTTGAGTCGAAAGAATTGAAGGAGCAGTTGCGGGATTTGCTTGATAAGGGATTCATTCGACCAAGTTTCTCGCCTTGGGGTGCACCGGTGTTGTTTCTGAAGAAAAAGGATGGAATGATGAGGATGTGTATAGATTATCGGCAGTTGAACAAGGTCACTATCAAGAGCAAGTATCCATTGCCGAGGATTAATGACTTATTTGATCAGCTTCAGGGTGCCAAGGTTTTTTCCAAGATTGACTTGATATCTGGCTACCATCAGTTGAAGATTAGGGTATCGGATGTCCCTAAGATAGCGTTTCGGACTTGGTATGGTCATTATGAGTTCTTAGTGATGTAATTTGGCTTGACTAATGCCCCAGCAGCTTTTATGGATTTGATGAACCAGGTGTTCAAGACCTATTTGGATTTTTTTATGATCATCTTCATTGATGATATTTTGGTTTACTCCCGCAGTCGAGATGAGCACGAGCAGCATCTACGGATTGTACTTCAGACTCTGAGAAATCGTCAATTTTTTGCCAAATTTTTAAAGTGTGAATTCTGGTTGGACATAGTTGCCTTTTTGGGCCATGTTGTATCTTCCGAGGGCATAAAAGTGGATCGTAAGAAGATTGAGGCAGTTCAAAACTGGCCTAGACCTACTTAAGCTATAGAGATTCGGAGCTTTTTGGGTTTGGCGGGTTATTATCGCCGGTTCATAGAGGGGTTTTCATCTATCTTAGCCCCGTTAACCAAGTTGACCCACAAGGTTGCTCTTTTTAGATAGTCTAACAAGTGTGAGTTGATCTTTTAGAAGCTCAAGACTGCATTGACTACAACCCCAGTGTTGGTGTTGCCTATAGGTTCGGGATCTTACACAGTGTATTGTGATGCATCACGTATTGGGCTTGGCACGGTGCTGATGCAGGATGATAGGGTGATTGCCTATGCGTCGCGGCAGTTGAAGTTTCATGAAAAGAATTACCATGTTCATGACTTAGAGTTGGCAGCCAATGTTCATGCATTGAAGATTTGGAGGCACTATCTGTATGACATTCATTGTGAGGTCTATACCGACCATCGGAGTCTCCAGCACTTGTTCAAGCAGAAGGGCCTTAATTCGCAAAAGCGGAGATGGTTAGAGTTGTTGAAAGACTATGATATCACCATATTATATCACCCGGGGAAGGCCAATGTAGTGGGTGATGCATTGAGTAGGAAGGATGAGAGCATAGGCAGTTTGGCATATTTACCGGTAGCAGAGAGGCCACTAGCCATGGAAGTTCAGGCTTTGTCCAATCAGTTTGTGAGATTGGATGTTTCGGAGTCCACCCATGTTCTTGCTTATGTTGTAGCACAGTCTTAGTTGTTAGAGCATATCAAGGCTTTCCAGTTTGATGATCCTCACTTGTTGGTGTCGAAGGATACGGTGTAACAGGGTGGTGCTAAGAAGGTTGCGATTGGTGATGATGGTGTTATGTGGCTTTTGGGCTGGATTTGTGTTCCAAATGTTGATGTGTTGTGAGAGTTGAACCTTGAGGAGGCTCACAGTTTGTTATTCCATTCACCTGGTGTCACGAAGATGTACCATGACTTAAAACAACACTATTTGTGGCGAATAATGAAGAAATACATCGTGTAACACCCCAGAAAATTTTGAAGTACTTAAGCGCTATTAAGAAAGTTGATATGAGTTAATTATATTATTTTGTGTGTATACAAGGACTATTATATGAATGATATGAATTAATCATGATAATATATGTATGATGTGCATTAAGAATAGTTTATCGTCTAAGAAGATGCCCAAGGTTAAGTCAAGTTGAAAATGTTATGATGGGCTAAAGTTTCAAGTAAGTTCGCACAAGATCCTATTTCAAACGCATGCTTATACCAAACTATAAATACTTAGGAGATTATCTACCTATCAAATTAAATCCCTTTGAGTCTAGTTTCCAACGCTTCAAACCGTTCATCATTTGGACATTCCTACAAGAAGTTATGACCAAATTACCAAAGGCTGGAAAAATGAGATTCTGCGACCAATTCTTCGATCGCAGAATAATTATGCGATCGCGAAAGTGCTTCTGCGACCGCAAAACTGGTCGCAGAATGGACCAGTACATCCCAGTTTTTGGCACCGATTTTGCGGTGCATTTTGCGACCCGCATAGCCATTATGCGATCCATTATGCGACCGCAGACCTGATTTCGGAGGATTAATTTTTTCTATTTTCATAACCCGACCCCAATTTGATAAATAGGCTTAGGGGCATATTTTGGGGCAATCATCTGAGGTTTTTTAGAGAGAAGTGAGAGTGTTCTATAGTGATAAAGTAGATGAAATTTTTTGTTCATCAAGATCTTGCCCAAGCTTTGAAATCCAACAAGGAAATCTCACAAGATCTTCATCTAAGAGGTAAGATTCAAACCCCTAGTCTTCAATTTCGAGTTTGGGGTAAAAGATGGGTGATTAGGAGTATGATTCTTGGGTTAAAGAGTATTATTTATACATGCATGTACCAATAAGGTTTGTGGAAAGATTGTTGAGCTCAAATAAGTAAAGATTGGATTGTAGAATGAAGGAAATCTTGTAGAAGAACCTTGTAGCCAAATTTGCACACATAGTGTTTGATAAAATGCTCAAATGAACTGAAATCATGAATATCTTCTTAATTATGGTTCAATTTTTTATGTCTCAAAATAGATTGGGATTGCTAGAATTTTCGGAACGTTGTAGTAATTTAAGGAAAGCTCAAAGCGAGGTATGTTGGCTAAACATCTTAACTAGAATTGAATTCCATGATGTTCTTGTAAGTCCCGAGTTATTCTTTATAAATCAACTATTCCGAATAAACTTTGTGTTGAAAGGTATATGTTCAAAATCTATTCCGGATGATCTTATCATATGATGTTATCCTTCGGGAATGTGTTCAAAGCATGAGTTGGATATAAATAATTTATGACTCCAAGTAGTGTTTCAAGTGAAGGTTATTATGCTAAATTATGTAAGAAGTCTCAATATGCCTAAGACTCTTAATTGCTCATAGGTGTACTAAAAGTCATGATTAGAGATTCTTTGTTGTCGATAATCTATAAAGATACTTGAAAGTGAAAGTAGTGAGTTGGGGATATAAAGTTTAGACATCGTGCCAATGATGAAAGTTATGATGGTGGCCAATAGCGCCAATGAAATGAAATGAAAAATGGAATATGAGATACGGCCACCATGCCATGAATGAAGAATAATATGTATGGCAAAAAGGATCCAATGAAATAATGATGTTGTAAACAATTGAAAGTACTAATGAAGTGATAGTACGAATATGAGATGTGGTTGTTTGCCTAAATGAGAATTATGAGGTGTTGTATGTCCTAATGGTTTCAACTATAGTTGTATGCTTCTGAAATAATGTATGTAAATGACTTTGATGATAAGTCCTCAAGAATCATGAACTTAGCTAATGACCTCAATATGTCAAGTGAGTGAATAACAAGATGAAACGGAGATGTCCTATGCTATATGATGATGAACCTTAAGAAAAGAAATTGGGCTCATGTGCCATTGAAATTGACTTATTGATTCACCATGCATGTGCTAATGTAATGTGCTATGAACATGATGAGCATGAACATGAAGTGTTCCAATGATCCGGGAATATATGACCTTAATGTAATGTTAATCATGTCGCTTTGAGTTTATATATCGTTATATGCATGATGATGTGTTATGAACTTTATGGACGGGCTATGAAACGCATAGGTGTATAATATGTGAATTATATGAACGGTCTATGAAACGCATAGGTGTATTATGTATGAAATCCTATGAACGGTCTATGAAACACATAGATGTATTGTATATGAAATCCTATGAACGGTCTATGTAACACATAGGTGTATTGTGTATGAAATTTTATGAACGGTCTATGAAACGCACAAGTATATTGTGTAAGTAAACACTGTGAACGGTCTATGAAATGCACAGGTGTATTGTGTAAGTAAATACTGTGAACGGTCTATGAAATGCACATGTGTATTGTGTAAGTAAACACTGTGAACGGTCTATGAAATAACGTATAAGTGTATTGTGTAAGTAAACATTGTGAACGGTCTATAAAACGCACAGGTGTATTGTGTAAGTAAACTTTGTGAACGGTCTATGAAACGCACAAGTGTATTGTGTAAGTAAATATTATAAACGGTCTATGAAACGCACAAGTGTATTGTGTAAGTAAACACTGTGAACAGTCTATGAAACGCACATGTATATTGTGTAAGTAAACACTGTGAACGGTCTATGAAATGCACAGGTGTATTGTGTAAGTAAACACTGTGAACGGTCTATGAAACGCACATGTGTATTGTGTAAGTAAACTCTGTGAACGGTCTATGAAACGCTTAGGTGTATTGTGTAAGTAAACACTGTGAATGGTCTGTGAAACGCACAGGTGTATTATATAAGTAAACACTGTGAACGGCCTATGAAACGCACGGGTGTATTGTATGGTATATGTGAATCCTATGAACGGTCTATGAGACGCATAGGTGTATTGTCTACGGAAGCCTATGAATAGTCTATGAAACACATAAGTGTTTAAAATGAAGACTTATTAAAATGAATAGTCCCTACAGAGCAAGGTATAGTAAAACTCCCTGGATCTCTCCACTTTTGTGGGATTTTATTTTGCAATATAGCACTGTAATGCTCTGTAAGTGTCACCACCCAAACCGTAGGTCCGCGACGGGCACCCGGTACCTAACTCAATCGAGTACCAACGTAACGTATCCTTCTTATCATACTATCATGGGTAAATGAACCGGAAAGGCCGTCATGAGATAACTAGAATTAAACATAAGAGAATACTCGACATGGGATGACCCAACATGATATAGAAGCTTATGCATGCGACATACGGGCCTATAAGGCCAACATGATCATTTGTATACTCAAAACATAGGCCGACAAGGCCACACAAGTATACATATACATGACATCTGTCTACAAGCCTTTACGAGTACATAAATGTCATAAAGTTCGAGATATGGCCCCGTCATATCAATCAATACATGTCCAAATCATACTGACCAGATAGGCAACTCCGGAGCAAGTAGAGTGCACTAACACCTTCCGCTGAGCTGATAGCCTACTAGGAGGACTCTCAACCTGTCTATCGGGACCTACGGGTATGAAATGCAGTGTCCTCAGGCAAAAGGGACGTCAGTACAAATAAAGTACCGAGTATGTAAGGCATGACAGTAGTATATAAAAGACATAAAAAAAACATGGAGTAAAGAACTCAACCTGTAATTCTGAATAGCTCTGTGAATCATGAAAAATTTATAATGTCATGTATGTGTATATAAATACCATACCATGCATAGGTATATGCGTACATAACATCATCAAGCCTCTGAGGGCATCCCATCATATCATCTCAGCCACTGTGGGCGAAATCATCAGCGTATACCAACTGATCAGGTGGCGGTGCATATATAATGCTATAACCTTTTCTCATATCCCATATACATATAATATACACGTATATAATGCCATCTGGTCATGGGTCAATGTAAACGTATAAATGAATGCAATGCATAATGAAGTAAGTCAGTAAAATTTCTCGGAATGTCATAAGATCAATATGCCTTCGGATAAACTTTAGCAACTTACGTATTTTTCTGATTCCCATGAACAGAAGATATAATAATAGGACACATGGGGAATCAAGAACATAGGCACCCCTAGTACTTCTATGAATATAGTCATTTATGAAAGTTTCGCGTTTGCACGTTTCGTTTGTATCATATGGATCATGCCAAAAGGAAAGAATGGATAGCCTTATCATACCTTAACTCCATTTAGTCCTTAATACCTTCCAAGTAATTCTTCAAACAACTCAACTCAATCTACCATAACATAAGGAGAGATTCAAAATCAGTGTTGTGTAAAGGCTAAGTTCGCAACTTAAACTAGTAGCTCGTTTATGTAAATTTGGGAAGCATCTCCCATGTAACAAGAGCCTCCTCCAATACCATATACCAACAACAATGACCAGAGAAATCCAGCAATACATAATTATCAATAACAAAACATCATATAACAACAACAAGTCACAACTACTTCACGACGAGCTACAAGCTCAATTGGAATCTGTATACCCCATATCACCCCTTATAGACTTCTTAATTTAACTTACTAGTATCATTAACATGATAATGAATTCATTCATCAATGATTCCATCCTTATACAATATATTTATAACAAAGAAAATAATCCACAACTCCAATTATCCTTAATTAGCAACTTTATTCACTAGTTCATGTCTAGTCCATCCATTTATCTTAATCAATGTCAAGATAACCTTAAGCACATCCAAGAACACAATATACATGCCTCCTACAGTAGCTTCAAGTCAAAATCCAAGTTATATTTAGCTTACAACAGCCCTCAATGGCAATACAACACCATAGAAGTGACTTAAGCTAATCTTCACTTTCAATCTCAAGTTTCATATACTTCTTTCACCAATTTACTTGATAAACATATATACATGCATAACAACAGAAACCATATCATAATCAAGTTATTTTCCCCAGTTTCCAGACATTTATAATTCATGGAAACAACCTTTCCAAAACAATCCATTAAAACCCATAACATCTCAAACTATTTCAAGTCTCCTCTTGTAGTATTTTGCTCAAATAATGCAACCAACACACAAAACAATTCAAGTACATGTAGTAGGATTTTATACTTACCTTAAACAGTAGAAACAACATGAAATTTCATCTAAGCACAACCCACAACTATCCTCAATAATACTGTAACACTATAGGTGTTGTATTCTCTTCTTCAATCAACTTTTGGTGTTCAAGTTGGTGTGTAAACACTTGTAGTTCGCCTTGAAAATCTAATATATATATATATATATATATATATGAAGGAGGGACTGACTATTACCTTAATAAACAAGAAAAACACGAAATCTGAGGTTACTACCTTTGAAGAACCCTTCAAAATAGCCACAAGACGAAGAACTACGATCTGGCAAGCACCACGGGATTTCTAGCATTGGATTCATGTTTTCATCTTTTCTCACCCTAGAATCACGGAGGAACCATTGGAGAGCATTTAGGATGATTTAGGAACTATTTTGGACCAGAAAAATGAGTTAAAACGATGGAGAATTGACTTAAATACAAGCTGGAAATTTTCCCCGACTTTGTGGGTCCCATGGGTGCTGCTTGCACAGTCTCACAAAAACGTGAATATCTCTCTACTCCGATATCGTATTGATGAACGGTTAAATGCGTCAGAAACTAGACTCAAATACCTTCAATTTGGTATATAATTACATTATAAAGCATACAAAATATATTTCTCAAAAAGCTTCATTACAAGGCAAATCCTTAATCGGTTTTTCCGCATCTTAAATTAGATTTTTTCCAACCTTTATATTTCATATCCAAATATCATATATAGTCATATCATAACTTTAAACTCATTTAAATGATGATTAACAAGTCTCATATTCATCTTAACTTACTTAAGACTTCGATAAACCTTTCTTATCCTTGTAGAAAGATTTCGTCCTTTTTGAGATTATATTAGATAATCCTATAATGACAGTGACGTCTGATGTACGGGGTGTAACAACATGTCCCCTTAGAAACATTTGTCCCCAAATGATAACTCTTAAAGGCTTGCAAAAATGGGACGTAACATCATTAAATCACTTTATATACATTCAAAGAGGATCTCATTTTCAAACTTACATCAATTGACTTACAACGTACTTTCACGTACAAAAACATGAGGTGTTATAGTAAGCTTGACCACAGAGGTCTCCTCTACTTTCCTCTTCTTTGTAAGGATCTCCTTCAAAAATTTAGCATAAGACGGCATTTGTGAGAGCACTTCTGTGAATGATAAGTTTACATGAACCTGTTTCAGCACATCCAGAAATCTCCCAAACTGCTTGTCCAACTTTTCTCTACTTTGCTTTTGAGGGAAAGGTAAAACAGGCATATACTTGCTCTCCTTGGGTTCCTCCGTTCTTGACTTTTCTTCCTTCTTTTTCTCATTTGCTTCTTGCCTTTCTTCTTCTTATCAACCTCTTTTTTCAGTCGCTCCCCACTTTCTTTTTCAAGTTCCAAATCTTTTTGGACTGGAGTGGGATCTTTCAATACTTGTCCACTTCTTAGAGTTACAACATTTACTGTTTCTTTAGGATTTCTCTCAGTATCAGTAGGGAGAATTCCTGGAATCCTCTCAGACAAAAGAGTGGCTAGCTGCCCAACCTGTGTTTCCATATTTCGAAAACCAGTACCTATTTCTTTGATAGCTGCTCCATGTTCCCGTATAGCTGCGCTATGAGTTTTAAGCCTCTAATCAGTTTTCAAAATGAAGGCCTCATGAGATCTTCTATGCCTGACTGAATGGTCTGTTGAGGCTGAAATTGCTGCCTCTACTGACTTTGCAATGTTGGAGTTCCTTGTCCCTGGGGTCTAGAGTTATTTTGTTGCCACGCATTAGCGGTACCCCCAGGTGAACTTCATGAAAAACCTGAATGTCTTTGACCCATAGTATTATAGTTGTTCCCACATTGGTAGTTTCCTCTATTAAAGTTCCACACAGCGTTGACTTCCTCAGCTGTAGCTTGACACTCATGTGTAGGGTGTCCCAATCCATACATGTTACATCCCACTTGTGGTTGATTTTGCACCTGAGCTATCGTCAGTTGCTTAATGTCCTTAGCCATAGCTGAAAATTGAGCCTGCATTGCTACCGACGATTCTACTTGATGCACCCCTGATGATCTTCTTCGATCCCCATGGTCAACGGATATTTCATTCAGAAGTGTGACAATCACTTTAGGGGTTTTCTTCATCAGAGGACCTGTAACCGCACTATTCAGCAATCTCCTTGATGTCAGGTTTAATCTGTCCCAGAAGTCCTGGAGTTGCATCCATTGCTCCATTCCGTTATGAGGGCACCTCCACAATAGCTCCTTAAATCGTTTCCATGCCTCGAACACTGTCTCCCCTTCACCTTGGCTGAAATGGTGAATCTCTTTCCTCATTCGTCCAATCTTAGCAGCAGAAAAATGTTTTTCTAAGAACATGGTAGTCATCTCCTCCCACGTACGAATTGACCCTGTAGGCAGACTTCTCAACCACTGGTTTGCATCATCCTTAAGTGAGAAAGGGAATGCTCTGAGGTAGATGGCATTATGTGATGCTCCATTATAGCGGAATGTGTTCATAATTTCGTCGAAGTCCATCATATGGTTGTTAGATCTTCATTGGGTTTGCCTCTGAATATGCAGTTGTTTTGAATGGTCTGGATGACTCCCTGTTTGAGTTCAAAATTATTGGCATCAATTGGCGGGGGCCTCACGCTAGACTGTTGTTGGTTGTACACCGGTCTGGCATAATCTCCTAGAGACCTCCCAGGCCAAGGGGCTGCATTTTCAAATTCATCTTCGATCATGGTTTGGTTGAGATTGAACCTTCTATCCTCGTCAACTATTTCATCCGCAACTCTATGGGTTCCTTCAACTGCTAACTGTGCTTCCTGTCGTTGAGCTGCCTCTCCCGCAACTAGGTTCACCTTCTTTTCGTTGTTCACCATTGTATTCTGAGCTGAAGGCTGACCCAACAGCAATCCACTCGATCCTTTCTCCCTTCTGAACTGCCTCAAGTGCTTGTCTAACTCTAGATCGTATGGCACCAATTCCTTGGAAGAGGATCAAGTCATACACCGCTAAACTTAACTTGTTGCCTACACACAGATGAGAAGAGCGTAAAAAAGGAAAATAAAATAAAATTGTTCCTAAATTAGCACCAAAAATTAATTCAAACACTATTAATCGCCAATCCCCGGCAACGACGCCAAAATTTGACGAGCGCAAAATCGCTGTATAGAACTTAAGCTCGTTAGTTAAAGATAGCATAGTATTAAATCGTCTCCACAGGGATTGGGTTAAATAATGTTCTAATAAATCTTTAGATTAACACTATCCATGAAATAAACCTTTGATATATGTTATTATCAACTAATAATAAAAACTAAAATTATCGATTGTGAGAAAATAATGGAAAATTAATGACTAAGTAGCAATGATTGAATATCAAGGTGAGAAGTAAGGGTTTTGACAAGATATGTGATCAACTATTATTCCGGGTAGCTTTGTGCTAAGTTCACTCTTAACTTCTATTGACTCTTACGATTTCAACAGATGATTAGGCTATCTTACGGATTCAAATTCTTCTTCCGAATGAATGAGAGTTTTGTTAACCAACCTAATGGCAGGTTCTAAGAACGTATGCGAATATACAGTGAATGAAAAATCTTTCATAGAACGTCTCTCGACTATTCTTCTAAATTTGGTCAATTGTTAACTCTCTAAGCTCTTTCTATTACCTAAGAGATGCGTAAAATTAACCCAAACAAGATAACACAATGCGAATTATAGCAACACTTCTCTTTCGATTAAAGTAAATCAACAATTGGCTTTGCAATTCAATTAATACTCATTCAACGATCTCGTGCAATTAACATAAAGTAAAGCCCCAAAACACTAGCCAATCACAATATCCGTCAACAACCCTAAGGAAGATTACTCCATAGTGGAGAAGTTATTCATCACACGAGTATTAGAAGAACAAGAAGATATTACAATTCCTAAAATCAAACAAACTTCCGTATTGAATGAACTGGATAAAGTCTTTTCAGTCTCCGTCATTTCCTTGCCTTCTTCTCTCCCAAAAGTTCTCTAAAATCTAAAATACCATGTTTTTAGACGAGCTAGGCTTCATATAGGTAAAAAGGAGTTGCCTCCGAAATTATAAAAATAGCCCTGGGTAAAGGTTCCGAAAGTGGACGTGTGTGGCCGCGCACCTGGAGGTGTGACCGCGCATATGGCCGCACACCTCTAGCAGTGCACTGCGTTACTTGCGCGCTCAAGTACGTGTTGGAGGGGGTCTCATGCGCGGTTGCGCATATGGTTTAGCCTCATGTTCAACTCTTTGTTTCTCCCATTATGTGCACTATTCATCCGTTGATCTCCGAACACGATTCTGACTTAATCCTTGGGCTTTTACTCAGACTTCAAAGCTCCAAAATAGCTCGAATTTCCACAACCTCTTCATAACTCAGAATCGCTCCTACAAGGCACAAAACACACACACAGTGCAAAACAATACAATTTAAAGCTCAAACACTAGTAAAGTGCAGTGAATTAGAGTGCAATTAGTGACCAAAATACGCAATTATATCCTACCATCATTAGTACATGTGGAATAGTAGTAGTATGCAAAGCTAAATGTCCTCTTTCGAAATAGAATGCCAATAAAAGAAGGGGGAAAACTATGGAAACAACAAGTAACAATCAACAATATCCAAATGCCAAGTTTAAAACATAACAATTTTCAAAATACATTCGATCTACACAAAGTAGAGTAAACCACCGTGTTTTAGCACGGAGTCCGATCACGAACCGATCAGCTAGATCTTCTCACCCAAAGACATTTGATCTACACAAAGCGGCCCCGCTGCCTCACCCCAATGTGTGCGGGTGGAGGTGTAATCACAATCACAATCTCTACACAAAGAGGCCCCACCGCCTCAACCCAATGTGTGCGGGTAGATGTGTAATCACAATCACAATTTAAATTACAATTTTCAACACAATCACCACCATGTGTGCGGCATGACGTCCGATCAGGACCCAACCGACTAGGCCATCTCACCATAATGCTGTGTGGATCGACATCACCCTTTTTTAGTAATCATCTCATCCCAATAAAATGGGAATATTCTCATCACAACAATCTCATCCCAAATAAGGGGAATAATCGCAATGCACCCTACACCGGCACCTGTAGTTTCGGGGTTAGGTTATTCCAACCTACCCTTCCTCGGTGACTAACGATACTCCCAAAAACATTTTGTTTTTCACATAAGGGAAACAAAAGTACAATATATTTTATATTCACCTCATTATCTTTCACACTATATATATCTTCATTAGTACTTTCAACCATTCACAACATCGTTATTTCCTTGGCTCTCTTGGCCTTCATTCATGACACGGTGGCCGTATCTCATATTCCACACTTTTATTTCTTTACATTCAAAAATCATCATCACAGACATCAACATATTGAATATTCCGTAAATCATAACTTCAAGTTCATTAGTAATGAATGCTTTAAACTCAATAGTTTTCTTTCCAACGAATGGAGCAAAATGACTAGCAATTGAAACACAAGTAAAAATCATAAATGAGTGGTACACCACTTATTCTTGAAATACTTTTCCCGAGGGCAATGCACAATCTCAACTCATGAGTATGTGAGAACTTAAATCACATTGGAAATATTTATAAAGGGGAGCATGGTGATTTACGATTGAAACACGAATACAAATCAATTGCACTGATTACAATAACCATGGCCACGTTTTACATCTCATTCTCACTTCTTTAACTTCCCAAACATCATCATAGGTTATCGACAATTAAGGGTATTTGGAATCAAGACCTCAAATATGTATATGAGCGATATGAGTCTTAAGCACTTTGAGTTTTCTTTCCAAATTGAGCATAGTGAACTTTCATTTGAAACATGAATTGAAGTTATAATATTTTAACACCTAAACCATACTCGAACACATTCCCGAAGGAGATCATAATGATATAGGAATAATTGGGACTCATTTTGAGTATGTGCATCTTTCAACATAAAGCTTACTTGGGATAATCAAAATTATTAGGAACAACTCGGAACATGGTAATTAGGAACCTGATCCAACCATACTAGAAACTTATGGGAACATCATGGAATTTGATTCTAAGAGAGAAGTTTAGCCAATATACCCTACTTGAGCTCTCCTTAAGTTACTACAATGCCCAACACCTCTAGCAATAACAATCTATAGGAAGGTAGTGAAAATCGGTTAATAATTAGAAGGATTCCCATGGTGTAACTCTCTTAGGAAATTTGTCAAACACCTAGTAGGCAAATCACCTAGTCTACAATGGTAATCCCTTCCTCCTTCAACCACTTTCCACAAGAAACTACACAAAATAGTTCATTAACCCCGCATACTACAACCTATTGTCACATGCATGGCCGATTTCCAACCCCACAATATACTTGAACTCATAACCTCTTGCATGAAAGCGTAGGAGTAGGACTTACCCGGATAGATGATAATCTAGTGATTGGCTTCCTTGATTCTTAAAAATTAGTGCAAGAATGGGTGATTAGAATGCTAGATTTCCTCCTTCTCTCTCTAAAATACTCTTACCTCTCTCTAAACTCATCAGACATTCGCTTAAAATGAGCCCCTAAGGCTATTTATCAAAATGGGGTCGAGTTATAAAAAATAGAAAAATGGACCCTCCGAACTCAGGTCTACAGTCACAGAATGGACCACAGAACAGATATGCAGCCCGCAAAATAGACCGCAAAAGTGATACCAAAAATTGGAATGGTCTGGACCGGTCTGCGATAGGTCTGCGGTCCGCAGACCACTTATGCGGCCGCAGAGTGGACCGCAGAATCACTCTCCAAAATTCTTCATGCCAAATCTACAACGGATGTACAGAACGTAAAACAACTATGCGATTGCATAATGGATCACAGAACAACCTTCAAAGTTCAACAAATACTCTGCTCAACTCCACGATGATTATGCGGATCGCGAAGTGGTTCTGCGGTCGCGAACTTGACTGTAGAACTGCCTTTTTTGCCAAAACATTTCTATCAACTCCTCAGTACACTCTTCAACCCAAAATATTCGTATCTCAAACACATAAGTCTACCTCGGCACCACAAAACCTCACATTCCTTGGCAAAATTTTTACGGGGCCTTACATCCTCCCCCACATAGGATCATTCGTCCTCGAATGAGGAGTAGAGTCCGCCCCAAACACCTAACAGATCTCTAATCTTCTTTCAAACATCCCAAGCCCCAAAATTTGACTAACTCCCAAATTTTTCAAACTTTTCGGCAGAGTCTCCCCCGTAATTGGGCCTATCTACCTGTCTGAAAATCACCAAAACCACCCTAACAACACATCCACAACTCAACAAAGCATCACAATATATATCAATAACACTAATATCAACATTACAGGCATTACATCATCCATAGTGGTATCCTGACATGAACTGTACATATTTAAATCATAACACATAGAAAGTACCTTTCGAACCATAACCATTTGGCTATACAAATAAGTGAGAATATTGTCTTTCCACAACACTCTCGGCC